AGAGCCCAAACTTTCTCCCGCGCACCGAGCCGCCACCGAAGGCGCTGGCTGGAGGCGCGGGGTGCGGGGCGCGGGCGAGCTGCTCGCGGGAGGTGCGGAGGGAGGCTGCAGCGCCACTCCTGGCCCGGCGTCCCCGAAGCTTCCCAAGCCGGCGGCGAGGACGAAGGAGGCTGCGCGGGGCCCGGACCCCTAACGGCAGCGGAGATCGGCCGCTTTGTCCAGCGCGGGCCGCGGGCGCGCAGAGAGGGGACCGGAGCCGCGCGTGCCCCTGCTTTGTGCGGCTTGGCTGCGGCGCGGAGCAGCCCGAGCCCTCGGCGCCCACGACAGCTCGCCCGCGCCAGCCCCAGCCCCAGCCGAGCGAGCAGCGAGGCGGCCACACGCTCGCCGGGGACCCGCAGCCCGCGCCCCGGGAGCCGAGCCACCAGGCCGAGTTGGCGGCGGAGGCGCGCGGCGAGGGACCCGGGCCCGGGGAGCCAGGACTGTCAGCTTCCTAAGGCCCAGGCGCTGCCTGCAGCCCGACCCGAGCGCCGAGGTCGGACTTGAAAGCTCCGGGCTGCCCCTGTCCAGCCCGGCCCTGCGAAGCCGGGTGCACCACCCGGGCCTCCTGCGCGGTGGGTAGTTTCGCCCAGGGTTCCTTTGGCCGAGCCGCCGCCGAGGTTGCATTTCAAGAAGTTTGGATCTGGAGCTGGGAAGGTGGTTTGCATTTTAAAAAAATACGAATCTTGATTTTTTTCCCCCCTTTGTGTGGCCTTTTAAAAAAATGTATAGGAAGCCTTGGCTTCCCTCCTGCGATCAGCTCCTCTGCCGGCTAATTAGTCTGAGTAATTCGAGAGCTTTTGGATTCTAAGACCCGAGAGGAAAAGTGTCTTTTCAAAGTTCATAAAGTTGTTGCCTCTTTCCCCGCGCAGATTTTCTCAGTCTCCCTGCGCCATAATAGCCCTGAATTTTAGCAAGTGTAATTGGGGGAAATGGAGCTGAATTTCAAGTGGAAATGCTTTTCTTTTTCGAGTGCTAAAACCTGGCCCTTCAGTCTTGAGTGATTTCTAGAAAGTTTAGAAACAAAGTAAATGTGGTTTCTTTCTTTCTTCCTTTCTCATCTGCTCCAAAGCTCTCTAAGCCATTTTGGATGTTTAACTGGAACTTGGGAAGGTTTGAAGAGGGGCAGGAGCAGAAAATGAAATGAAAGCAGAGCGCTTGAAAGCCCAGCCGAGCACCGAGGGGAAAATAGCTGTTGCGTTGACATTACATTTTTTACAGCCTGTGACCTTTGTGGACGTCTGAAGGCGATTTGATTAGCTGTTATCTTACTTGGCCCTGAGAGTAAAACTTTGTCATCCTAATTGCTAATTACTCTCTGGCCCGGGGGCAGGAGGGGAAGGAGCTGCTCCCTTCACTCCTTGGGCCTGGGTTTTGAAAATTAATAAAAGCAACAGGGCTTGGGGAGCTAGGCCTGTGCCGGGCTAGGAGGACAGCGGCTTCGGAGGCCGCGGCCTGGGTGAGCGGAGGTTTCTGGGGCCTCCTGCACGCTGGACGTGGCTTTTCGGCCCGCAGAGCTGCACGCATCCGCGGGCGGTGGGGTCTCGGGCTGCTGCCAGGTTCGGCCTCCTGAGTTCACAACTGCTTCCGGGTGTCCTGCACCCCGCTTCCCGGTTTGGTTTTGCTCAAAGTGTTAACTATTACTTAAGTAATTAGATAGCCGGGGAGAAGGGAGCAGAACCGGAACCTGAAATCTTATCACTTTCCCAGCTGCTTCGAAAATTAACCAGCGAGGCCTTTCAGGGACCCGCTAGGGAAATTTTTAAAATGGCACCAAGAAAGTACTAGCCGGGAAGGGGGCATTCGTTTGTGCTCCGTGCAGCGTGGCCAAGGACGGCAGTTCAGGAAGTTTCGCCCCTCCGAGGGGAACCCCACTCCCCTCTCTCAGCTTGAGCCCCACATTTGTGGGGAGGGACCTGCCCGCGGGAGAGGGGTTTTTTCCTGCCGGGGCAGGGCTGCAGTTGGGCGGGAGGCGGCTTGGAGGCCAGCGGTTACCAGGCCACGAGGGATGCTGAGAAAAAGTCCTTGGTGAGGTTTATTTTTCTGGATTTAAGCTGCCTTCCAGCTAGTTAAAATTAGCCTACAAATGGCTTCAAAGAGAAAAATGTGCTTCTTGAAACTCTGCTGCCAGGCGGGCAACATTAGAATCATCACAGGCCAGGAGGAAGAAGGATAATTTTTTGAGAGCCGACAGAAATGAAGCTGCGGCTGTATTGTTATTTTCCCTCTTTTGGGGGGCGAACCTCTTCAATGGGCTCTTTATTGTCTCTCTCCTTTCCCAATGGAGCTCCCCACCGCGCCCTTGTATCTTTTTACTGCCCAACAACCCACACCAGTAACACAATTACCCCAGATATTTATAACGAGAAATTGGGTTTCTGTTTTCTCCTCCCCCACGCTCGGCGTGTTCCTGGGGAAGGCGGGAGGGCCGCGGAGGGTGAGGATGGGGCCGATCCGGGTCAGGACTGGGGAGGAGGTCCCCTGCTCCCTGAGAGCTGGCCAGTGGTTGGTGCCTCGGACTGGAAGCTGCGTTGCCGGCTGGGAGCCTGGGCTTTGCTCTGGGGCTGAGGGAGAGCCGGAGAATAGCAGCCATTGTTCGAGTCTGGAGGCTCTGTCGACCACGCTCACCCCCTCCTGTTTGTACTTCTTAAAGCAACGAGCCGAGGTAGACAGCGTGTGTCACCGTGCCGTAAAGGGGGGACAATCTAAACACCCCAGTCTCGAGGAGTGAGCCATGGGGGAAGTGGGGCTTGCAGTTTGCTTGCAGAGTTCGGAAGGGCTGGGAGGCAGGTGCAGGGGGCTGTCAGAAGCCTTTTTGGGGGTGAGCCCAGATGAGACTTGGGCCCTGAGGGCCTCGGGGCCACTTTGGTGGCAGAGTCCTCGTGGAAGGAGGGCGTGCAGGCCGCAGCCTCTCTCCACCCTGTGCCCCAGCAGGTGGGAGCTGTGAAGCTCCTGCAGCCTCCCTTCTGTGCACCTCCAAACTCTGGGTCTCCTCCCTCCTGGCCTGCCTGCCTCCCTGCGCCTCTGCCTGCCTCCCCTGGTTTCGCTTTCCCCTCTTCCTTTCCCAGGGTCTTGGTATTTTTGCAAAGTGAAACCCTAACTCTTAAGCCTCTCCAGTCCTCCCAGCCCAGACCAGCATGCTCTTCACCGCAGGGTGAGGCTCTGTGGGATGGACGCTGGAGATGTGGGTGCACTGCTGGGATCTGGGCTCTCCTGGCAGAATGGCTGGGTCCTGAAGCCCATTCTTCCGGGACCGGGACCGGGACCGGGGCTCAGGAGCTGCTCACCCACCACAGCTTTTCGCGTGCAGTTTGACCCCCCTTCTCCCTCTGTTTTGTCTTAGGGGGAAGACTTTAGGGGTGCGCAGATGTGCAAAGCCTCTTATTCGGAGAGCAGACAGACGTCCCTGATTTCAGGCAAGTTCCGCAAAACCTGAGAGAGTCCAAACAAACTGTTTCAGAATATTCCTGCATTAGGGTTCAGATAGAAAAAAAAAAACAACCAAAATCAGGTCAGGGCTCCTCCTGGTGAGAGGGTCTGTATTGGGAATATCGGGGTGTGTTATTTGCAGCCCTAAGGGGAGCTTCTGCTGCTCAGGAAGGCAGAGGTAGATGACCCCCAGACCCCCAGGCCCTGGAGTAGATGCAATTCTGAGCAAGGAGGCTCCCATCAGGCCCAAGTTGCTCTGGGCGGGGTGGGCCTGCCTGGTGAAGCACTGGGTCTGACTCCTGCGTTCCTGCCCACAGAGCCCCGCACCGCAGCCCGGTGGGATCCTGAGGCCCCCCCGCCAGCGCCAGCATGCAGAACAGTAAGTGCCAAGTGTGGGGCTGCAGGGCCCGGTGGGAAGGACGGGCAGGAGACCTGCAGAGCAGCCTGCCGGCCGGGAAGCCAAGGTGGAGACACCCCATCCCCCCAGTCCTGTAACTCACACCCCTCCCCGCCTGCCCGAGCTCTGACCCCAGAGAGGGGCCGGCGCCTGGGGCGGGGCGAGCTGGGAGCTGGAGGCCCCTGGGCCGAGCGGGAATGGACGGGACGGACAGGCGGGCGGACAGGCGGGCGGGCATCGGAGTCGCGACACTAGGGTGGGGCCGCCGCCTAGGGCCCGGTGGGTGGGTGGGGCCGCCTGTGCGGGAGAGACCCGAACCGCCGCTGCCGCCAGCATCCTGGCTCCCAGGCCCTGTCCCCTCCCCTCCGACCTGGGCTGGCCTCCTGCGCAGTGCGCTGCTGTGGCTAGGAGCGGCGTCGGCCTGGGTCTGCCCTTCTGGAGGGCGCGGCCCGGCAGCCAGAGGCTCGCACGTCCGGCGTGCACCTGGGCGGGTGGGCGCCGGCTCGGCTAGCAGCGCAGGTGGCGCCCGGCAGCTGGGCCCCTTCGGGCTTTGTGCCTCGCTTCCCGGTGTGCGCGGCCGAGGAGCCTCCAAATTGGCACCATATGCTTTCCTATCGCAGGCTTCGCGGTCGGCTTCAAGGCGCATAATCATCGCCACTGGGCGAGCGCCGCGTCCCCGGGGAGCGCGCGAGGATTGAGGCTTGACCTTGGGCGGGCCCGACGTGGCCTGCAGCCTTTTCGCGCTGGCAGAGGCTCTGGTCGAGGCGGTGCGCGTCCGCGTCTGCGTCCTCGGGGCGAGGCCTGGGCCTGGGCCTCGGCCGGGGCGCTGCAGCCTGGTGCCCGGGGCGCGGGAGTCAGCACAGTCGTCCTAGGCCCTGCTGGGCGGGGGCAGCACTGGGGACCGGGCCAGCCGGCAGCACGGCTCAGAAGCGGGCGAGGCCTGGCTGGGGCAGCGCTGTCCCAGCCCCAACGCCTGTCACTTCTCATTGCGCTGAGGCCCAGCCCCTCCACAGCCTCCCCCACCCCCACCCCGGGCCTCCAGCCTTGGGCTCCCCTGGAAGGGGAAGGGAGCCCAGTCCAATCTCGTCTGAGTGATCTACAAATAGGGACGGAAAGGGTCGCTTTATCACGGCCCGGTTTGTCGTGACGATGCGATTTCCCGGAGCGGAGCACTGTCACAAAGTGACAGGGCTGCCACCAGCGCCCCGACTGATCTTTTCAATTAGCCTTCCATGCATGATCCGGAGCGACTTCCGCCTATTTCCAGAAATTAAGCTCAAACTTGACGTGCAGCTCGTTTTATTTTAAAGACAAATGTCAGAGAGGCTCATCATATTTTCCCCCCTCTTCTATATTTGGAGCTTATTTATTGCTAAGAAGCTCAGGCTCCTGGAGTCAATTTATCAGGAGGCTCCAAGGAGAGAGGAGGAGAGCAAGGAGAGGCGGACAGGGAGCCGGGATCCTCTTCTCCTGGGAGGCTGCGGGGGGACGCCCTGCAGGTTGGGGGGCCAGAGGCAGGCCCTGGACCGGGGGCCACGCTCCCGGGGAGCAGGCCCGGGAAGGCTCAGCGTCCCCATCAGTGGGAGGAGGTGTCCTGTCGGGACAGACTGGAGGGCGGCTCAGGGATGTGGTCCTGGTGCTTCTCTCCTCCTGAGTTCCGCAGTGTCTGTCCTTGGCCGAGGGCAGGGCACAGATCAGCAGCGGGCGTGAGGGGCAGTGGCCGTGCAGGATCTGGGCAATGGCCTTCTCCGCGTGGGGCTGGTCTGGGCCTGCCTGTCGGGCAGCAGTAAGGTCACTGGGTCGGGGGCTGGGGCGCTCTGGCTTTCGGTGCCTTCCCCTTACCTTCTAGGAAAGCACGAAAGCAGCCCAGCCCGCCCGGTGCTGAGCTGCCTGCCGTCCACGCAGTTTAGATGGTGACACCACTGTCGCCCCAAGGCTGCTGTGGGCGGCTAGCTGTGGGGGCGTCGGTGGCTCTGTGGGTCCCAACTTGTGCCCTCGGAGTCTCTGGGAGGAGACTTTGCCCTTGGGCTGGACATGGCTGGGCTCGCGGAGGGCGGCTGCGCTGCTGGGTGACAGCGGGGCTGGGGTACAGGCGTCCTCTCGGGCGTGTGTGCAGGCTGGGCTGCCCGTGCCCTGCCTGCTGGGGCTCTTGTCCTGTGGCTTTCCTGCTCCACAGCAAGGAGCCGGATGCTGAGCTTGGCACGGGTTAGCAGGGGCTGAGGATGCACCGTGTTGTTTCTTTCTCTCTTCCTTCCTCCTCCGTTTTCTTCCTTCTCCTCTTTTCCTTCCTTTCTTCCTCCTCCGCTCCTCTTCCTCCTCCTCCCCTCTCCCTCCTCTTCCTCCGCCTCCTCTTCCTCCTCTCGCCTCTCCTGTCCCTTTCCGCAGGTCACAGTGGTGTGAATCAGCTCGGAGGTGTCTTTGTCAACGGGCGGCCACTGCCGGACTCCACCCGGCAGAAGATCGTAGAGCTAGCGCACAGCGGGGCCCGGCCTTGCGACATCTCCCGAATTCTGCAGGTGATCCTCCCGGCCCTCTCTTCACTTCCTCCTGCAATCGCTGCGCTGCCGGACCCCACTTCCCCTGTCCCCAGCTTTCCCTCACCTTCCGCTGTCCTCCCTGACTCTTTCAATCTGAGTCAGTCGCATACGAGAATTCATCTGCTTCAGAACACAATTGTGTATGCATTAAAAACGCCCTTCCTCCTTCCGTTTGGGCAAGATGCCCGAGTGGTGACAGTTCCCACACTGCAGTGAGCTGAGGGCTAGGACCGGACCGGGCTCAGCGCCCCTCTCTGTCCCGGCTTCCCTGGGACCCCCAGAGAGATGTTCCTGTCCTTCAGTCCTTCATGCTGATGAGGACACACGTTAATCAGACAAGGAAAACGCCATCCACTGCACCCTGACTCGCTTCCCCTCAGTTGGGCATATTTTTAATAAGAAAGTAAAGATTCAATTCATCTCTCCCCTTTGCTTGTTAGAATGTAATACCCCTTGGTGCCAGGTCAGTACAAAAAAATTTAATTTGACTTCGTTTTGATGCATCTTCTGGCAGTGTTTAGGAAGAGTTTTTAAAAAATTTTTTTAGGATTCTTTTTTTAGTGCAAGGTGTTTGAAAGTATCACCCTATTTGTAGTTTTAGGGCTACCAATGCAATTTTAAGAAAGAAAAGCACTCTACAGTAAGCTCTCGTACCATTGAAGGTATATTTTTGTGTTATAGACCCATGCAGATGCAAAAGTCCAAGTGCTGGACAATCAAAACGTAAGCTTGTCATTGTTTAATGCATACTTAAACAATTTTATTTTTGTCTTGAAATTATTAATAATGTGGTTTTCTGTCCACTTCCCCTCTGCAGGTGTCCAACGGCTGTGTGAGTAAAATTCTGGGCAGGTATTACGAGACCGGCTCCATCCGACCCAGGGCCATCGGGGGCAGTAAACCCAGAGTGGCAACTCCGGAAGTTGTGAGCAAAATTGCCCAGTACAAGCGGGAGTGCCCGTCCATCTTTGCCTGGGAAATCCGAGACAGATTGCTGTCTGAGGGGGTCTGCACCAACGACAACATACCAAGTGTGAGTTTGGTGCTGCCCTCCTGCCACTCCCTCCTCCTCCTCTCCATGTGGCTGTGCTGCCCCGCCTGGCCCAGCCTCCTCTGACACTGGGCTAGCAGAGCAGGGCCCCTAGTGTTTCTGGCCATCTGGGGAACGGAACGGGGTCAGTGTGGGCAGTTGTTCTCTTCCTGCAAACCCAGAGCAGACAGGTGGGGGGGGCGGGGAAAGGCACTAGGACCAAGAAGGAAAATGCAAATGAAAAGCATATTCTACCTGCTGCAGGGGACCTGCCTGAACTTCCTTCAGGAGCCCGACACCCATTTCCGCTCTGGTATAGAACCGTGCAATGAGAAAAATCGGCACGGGGTCTCAGCCTGTGCTGGGGAAGTCTTTACACAAAGCAAAGCCCTTGAGTGAGGTCACCGGTGGCACGTGGGGAAAGCCAGGGACCCTCACTCCCCATCTCGTCCCAGCCCAACTTCCCTGCTCCCAGCAGCAACAGCTGCCTTCTGTCGCTGGTGTAGCTGTGAATCTACTCACTGTGCCAGGGTGGCTGGGAGCTCTCACGTGTGGAGAAGCACTCCGCAGAAGGCGGGAGAGCTGAGGTGGGCATGGGGTGTCCATGTCTTCGGGAGATGCTACCATTTGGTCTGATTTTGGTTGATCTGCAGGTGTCATCAATAAACAGAGTTCTTCGCAACCTGGCTAGCGAAAAGCAACAGATGGGCGCAGACGGCATGTATGATAAACTAAGGATGCTGAACGGGCAGACCGGAAGCTGGGGCACCCGCCCTGGGTGGTATCCGGGCACTTCCGTGCCAGGCCAGCCCACACAAGGTAAGAGCCGAGTGGCCCGACTCTTCAACAGATGCAGCCCCAGGGGGTGGGTGCCAAGGGTGGACTGGCAGCCCAGAGTGGAGGCCTGGGCACAGCAAGGGGCCCCGGGGGAGGTGCCGGGGTCAGGAGTGGCAGGAAGGTGGCAGGCCTGGGCATGTGCATGTGTGTGTGGCAGGCACGCCCCTTACAGCTGACGTGTGAGTGCAGGAGCCCCGTCCACGGTCCACGGCGGTGACAAAGGGTTAGGAACAGCCTGACAGCCCCGGGGAAGCCTCATGCAGCGCCTTGGTTTTTGCCATCCTTGGCACCTTGCAGACGGAGGTGGTTGGGCGCGGACGCTGGGAGGTGGAGGCACCGGCCTGTCCTTTGCTGGCCCCATCCGTCCGTCCGTCCATCCCCTCCCCCAGGTACCCTCTCGCCTCTGTGGGTGGCCCCGCCCCAGCCTGAGGGGAGCCCTGCGGTCCTGCCCCTGGGGAGGACCCAGCGAGTGAGGGAGGGGCCTGTCCCCAGCGAGGCAGCCCGGTTGGAGGAAGCAGTGGGGCCCAAGATGGGCGAGGAGAGGAGAATGTGTGGGGTAACTGGCTCCGGCATGGCGTCTCCCTCGGGGCGAGTGCTGCCGGGCGGGGACAGCGGGTCCTGGGGACCCCTGGGCACCTTATGCTGCGGCCCGGCCCGGGCAGCAAGGGAAGGGGAAATCGGCAACAGTATGCGGAATATCTGGTACAAAGGATGCTTCTGTCACTCGCAAGAATTTGTTATGGGAACAATCCTGTCGCTCTGTAATTGCTCATTAGAGAACGTTTTGTTTCTCATTAAGGCGACATGAATAAGCGTCTAGTCGAAGGAGACAGCTGTAGAAATGTTCCACAAGAGACCTCTGGACACGATTCGGCACCAATTGCCAATTAGACATGTCAGTTTTAAGAGCAGGAAACAATATAGGACGGACACTGGGAAGATAGGCACCGGGCCCCGTTCATCCCCAGTCCGGCCGCGGGGCCAGGGAGCCTCCGTGTTCTGCCTCTGCCGGCAGGCTGGCAAGCTGGGCCAGGGTCCGGCTCGGGGTGCAGCCAGTGGACCCCCTCTTTCCGCCAGGACGAGGCCCAGGCAGGCAGCAGACTCCTCGGGGCGCCACACGGTTCCGCTGGTCGCACCTGTGGATCCCTGGTAACCTTGGGCCTGGGGGTGGCCCTGGCTCCAAGCTCTGCCCTTTGTCACCCGTGCTCCGCACCTGTGCGCAGGACGCGGGGTCCACCCCTTAGAGTCGACACCCAAAGCCAGAGGCGAGGATCATCTCCCAGGGGACAGATGCGGTCTCCTCCTGACCCGCGCCTCTCAGTGGGGATAAAATCCTGCTGGCCACAGGGACGACTGCACGGCTCAGTTCCCGTCTGGCTGGGCACGGGGGAGAACCGCCCTCGCCTGTCCCCTCAGCCGCTGGTCCCCAGCCCACTCTGGGACTCAGTCCCCTCCTTTGTCACCAGGTCACTAGGGGGTTTGGTCCCCTCTGTCCCCTCCCAGAGGCCTCAGATTTTGATCCGAGAAGCCAGGAAGGTGCTGCCGCTATCTTTTCTTGCTCAGTTTCCGCCTCACTGATTGCGACACTAAGAAAGCAAGGAATGATTTTATTTCCCAGCGTCTTTCTTCTCCTCCTCCAGGACACAAATCCCATTCCCAGCATCAGGTGGCCGAAAAGGGCCCGCGGGGCGCGGATTAGGGGTGGCTGCACCCAGGGTCGGCTCTGTCGCCCCACGAGGCCTTAGCACCAGGGTTGGGGTGCAGCGTCCAGTCTGACTCTGTCAGAAGGCTTAAGGGGGGAAGGGAAGGCCCCTGAGGGGACAAAAGGGGCGCCTGCTCTGAGTGGCCCCTGTCACCGCCTCGCTGGGGCAGCTGCTCCTTTCCAAGCAGCCAGGGGACCCCGGGATGTGGGATGGCCTGGGGTCCAGGGCCCTGGAGCCCCGCCCCTCCTTGCTGGCCCAGAATTGCACTTAAAAAAGAGATTTAAAATCAAGTTCCCCTGTTGACTTTTTCCCCTGTGTGTCGAGGCACACACGCGGAGCATGCGGAAGGGCGTGCGTGCTGTGCATGTGTGTGCGCGTGCGCCTCGGTCTGGTCTCCTCTGCCCTGGGAGCCTGGGCAGGCGGGCCAGGCTGTCTGCAGGGTTTCCGGGCCCCAGCACCCGGCTGGACCCGCGAGCTCAGGTGCAGGGAGGCGGGAAGCAGGGCTCCCGCTGCAGACCAGGGCCCCTTCCAGGCTTCCCCTCCCCAGCCCATCCCGGAGCGGGGCGCCCTTCACTTCCTCCCTCTGAGGAGCCCGGAGGCAGGGCAGTCACAGCCCTAGCCCTGCAGCGGCGCGCCCGCTCCCGGGTTGCAGGAGGCCCCGCGTCGCCTCTCCTGCGCCGGACCCTCCTCCGACCTGGCTGCCTTCTCACTCCTCTGCCTCCCTGTCACCCTCTGGGCTGCCCCATCGCCGTCCGCCCGGTCCCATCCGCCCTCGGCCCCGTTCCCCTCGGGCAGAGCAGCCCCGGCCGGCCCCGCTCCCTCGCTCCCTCGCTCGCTGGCTCGCAGCCTGGGTCTCTGGACCCTCATCTCCGGAGCCAGCACCCTGCAGAGCAGGGCGGCGCCTTCACCCCACCCTTGGAGAGCCCTCCCCCGCATCCGGGCTCCCTCCTCCCTCTCCTCCTCCACC